AAGAAAAAATGGTGGAGAGGTGAATTCAAGTATTATATATTTGATATACTGTAAGAATTTTTGTAAATGCTACTATGTATCCCCACCCAGCACAACAGTAAAAGAAAGACTTACAGAGGGAAGTTCTGTTTCCAGGTCTTACAGGAAGTAAGTGATAAGAACCCTGGGACTAGACCCCTGCTGAGCTGTCTCCTGCATCTATGCTGTGACATCCCAGGGCAAGTCTGGGTTTCCTGGTCTGATTCATTCTCAATTGGTCCTTCCCTATGAGCATCTTCCCACTGCTGTTCTCTTGCTTGCTCGTCCTCCTCTCCTGTCTGCCTTTCCTTGCTCCCATAGGTCCTTGTCTCCTTCTCATCCAAGTTGACTCTTAGTTGAGATCCATGTAACCAATTCTACCCAAAGTCAATCCCTCACTTGCATTTAGAATTCTATTCTTATTACCTGGTGAGATACTTAATTTTCTTAAAAACCAAATACTTAATACAATATTTACTATGATCCAGGTAAGGTTTGAAATGTACCAGGAATGTTACATAATATTATATTTTGTATACCCAATAAGGTAGCTATTATTAGTATTCACATCTTACAGAGGCAAGAAATGTCTTTAATAACTCTGACCATTCCACCCACAATTCATTTGCAGAGCAAGTCAGATACCTTGTAATCCACTGGGGAGATATAATCATTCCATGAGATCAAGGAGAAATCTGTGAACATATATAATTGATCAAATCCACTACATGAGGAATTTGACCTAACCAGAAACAGAGAACATTAATGATATGTGCATGCAGTTAGTAATAAATTATGTGGCTGTGTGGCTTCTCAGGTACCCTATCATCTGATCATCACATGCATAATAATATCTTTAAGGCCAAGGTAACTCTAGGTAACTCTAGTTTCTTTAGTATTATTTTTGATGGACACTTAAAGACCCAGCAAACTATGGCTAGGAGATGGAGGCTGAGTATGCTAGCTTTACCTCCAGGATGCCTGCTAGATATGACTGAGTTGAGAGGAAAATAAAATCATGAAGAACATATACAGTTTGTACTATACACATCAGTAATGTGATGATTTTAATGACATTTAACACTGGATGTATAACATCATTGATCTAGATAAGGTACACTGAAAATTGACCTGAGATCTGGTACCAGTCATTTTAGGAACTGAATTCTCATTTTTAAAAACTTGTTTAAGGCTGGCATAGTGGCTCAAGTGGTAGAGTGCCTGCCTAGCAACCATGAGGCCCTGAGTTCAAGCCCCAGGCCCAACCAAAAAAAAAAAAACTTGTTTAGGGGAATGCAGCTATTCCAATACCCTGGACCCAAGTATGGTCCTCCTCTATCAGGAAAGGTCATCCCCTTCAACCTTTGTACAGCTTCCAGAGTAAGGCACATGGAGTGGTAAGGGAAGAAGGACCCACCTCATCAGCCAGATCAGTCAAATGAACTCTGGAAATCCATGGGGGTGACAGTTGTCACCACCATATCACTATCACACTCTTAAGTCTCATTCTTCATGAGGGAAGAATAGACAGCAGATGACCTAAAAATTAAGTGATAAGGCTTTGTACTGATGAAAAATCCATTCCTAATCCCTGAAGAATTGCTTGCATCACTGATTCACATACCTGGAGGAGTTAATGTCTTAGCATTGAATCCGACAGGATCTCCAAGAAGCCCTCCTCTCCACCAGGAAAAGAAAAGCATTCTTGAACCATGTCTTGGTCTTCTTTGGTAGAAATTGTAGCGATTAAGAAAAACAAGGTGTCAGGTCCAAATTGAAGGGATATTATACATACGTTTCCAGTCTGAGACACCAGAAGAGAAGGCCACTCTTTATAACTGAAATGAATTGAGTTCTTAAGATCCCCATTGACCCTGTGGTGGGTAATTTCTTTCCAAAAAGATTAAATCCCATTATTTTCCTGTAGTCTCATTGTATGCAGGTTGAGGATCCTTTGTCTAAAATGCTAGGAAGTGTTTCTGATTTCAGACTTTTTCATATTTTGGATTATTTTTAATCCAATATACATATATAGTGAGGTATGGGGATCAAGTATAAACATGAAACTGATTTGTGTTTTACATTTACTTTATGCATAAAGCTCAAAGTTAGTTCTACACAATAGAACTAACTTTGTTCAAAAAGAAAGTTTCATTGAGCATTCTACGCACTTCCCCAGGAGTGAGGGAAAGCCCTCTTGGGAGAGAGAGAGATGGTGTCATGCCAGGGTTCTATTAGCCAGGCAGGAAAGGAGCTACTCAGGGCTAACAGCTCTACTGCCAGGTTTGCCTGTTGTGCTTCACTAGCTGGCTACACCAGAAATTACAGCTTTCTCTATATTTCTTACCATTGTGAAGATGACGGCTTTGGATGAAGATCAGAAAGGGATGCTAACAGCAGAATAGTGTTTCAAAGAAATGAGAGACAAAGGGCTAAAACAACCAGTATTAAGGGTAATCAGAGAAGATTTGTGTCAGGCCAGAGCTGCAATTTCTGTTTCCCCTCACCCTGCTAAATACAGGAGGAGAAGAGGAAAGGTTGGTACAGCTGGCAGACACCCAGTCACTGCTTTTGCAGGGATTCATAACCTGGAATTCAGCTGTTAAGTATTGTTCTCTCCTGCTCCATGGGTAGGAGATTGGTTCCCCCAGCATTCAGAAACACAGTGGAGGGAAGCAGAAGGTCACTCTGCTGATGTCCTTGTCTAGATCCAAGAGGCACTGAAAGAAAACCACTGGCCCTCTCTCAGTGTTCATCCTGGGAAACACCACAGACAGTCACTGGATGCTGGTTGTGTGGATCCTGGTTTCTCCTTTGCTGTTTCAATTATGGAAAGAAAGAATTGTCATTCAAAATATCATATTTTTCCCTTAAATTGAACTAAGAAGATTTGGAGTGGGTACTTTCTAACTGTGAAATCTGGTATTGCATCACAAATTCAAAAGTTTAAGTTAAATTGAGCCAGCCCTTATGCTGTGTACAAATGTGAAAAGAGAAAGCTTGTAGAGAGTCATGTGAAAACAAGGCACTTATACTTGCCTTACCACACTCGCCATGCTGAGGTTGGCTCTGGGGGCCCCACCCACTAACTGTTGCTAAAGGATGTGGGATATTCCCCATCATTGACTTTGCAGGTCAATGGAACTGGTTTCCATGGGACTCAGAATGCCCACAAGTGTGGGGTGGTAACCTGTGGTTCAACCAACGGTTTGTCACAAGGCTAAGATTACCAGATTTAAAGGCCAAGTGAATAGGGAAACTGTTGGCTCACTCTCTGAGTAGAAATGGCAGAGGAATTTCAGAAAGGGCTGAAGGAGACCAGTGACTGTCTTCCCCCAACAACTCATCTCACATATTCCCTTTTCCTGCCCATTAAGAAATAGTGCAGAAATCTCAACTGTCAAGTCAGCAAGGAAGGAGTGCAGTTTCCATTCCAGGTCTTTTCATCTCAACTTGTCCTAATTGGATGGCTGTAATACCCTGTTAGATTTTCAGCTTCTAAGAAGAACAGTGGATTTTCCAAGGAACCAGCAACAGGAGGCAGCTCAAGGAGTGAAAGAAGGCATCTGAGAACTTTCCCCTACCTGCAGTGCCAGGTGAGTCAGCTCCTAAACTTGGTCTTCCAAGCCCCTTTCCTTCAGCCACCAACATCAGTATGTTGCTCACTGCACACTCCACTATGAGGGTGCAGACTCACACTGGCCAGTGGGCAAAAACCATAGAGTTCACTGTTAGTGGTGGGATGGCGTCTGGTCCTCCCAACACTTCACTATGGACAGGTTCAGAATCTACTTTGCAGAGGTGATCGCAAGGGGACCCTAGAATATGCTGCTGCTCCTCTTTGGGCTTCCACCAAGAGGTGCGGCAGAGTCCTGCATGAAAGCTGATGAGTTTGTCCAAACATGCTCCGTGGCAGAATGGGGAGGAAGCCCTTTCTAAGACTGAAGAGCCAAACCCCAGCACCCCTGCAAGGTTCTCCTTTGGGGTAGAATCTTCCAGCCTCCCTCCTCCTGTTCTCAGTGTTTTCTTGACTATCGCGATCAAAGTCAATGACAATGTTCAACTTCCCCCATTCTCACGTAACACTTCTCAGGCTACTGTAAATGTAAATTCAGACCCAATATCCCTCCCTCATTACCTGCTCATTTCCGTCTAAGAATTACCATTATCACACACATTCATATTCATATACTTCACATATTTGCCTTATTACCTTTTCCCCCACTTGAATTTATATCCTCCTTAAAAATGGAAACATAGAATAGTTTCCAGTACAAAAGCAATGCTAGGAATATTTCTGTATAGCTATCTTTAACTCAACTAGCAAAAATGCTCTGTCTTCCTTATTATGCTTGTATCTTTCCTTCAACAAAATTAGTGATAAAGGCAGAACAGGACCTGCCTGGCACTGAGGGGGTAGGGGGAAAGAGGGTAGGGGAGCGGGCAGGGGGGAGAAATGACCCAAACAACATATGTACATGTGAATAAATGAATAATTTTTAAAAAATAAAATGACAGTTCCTTGCAGAGTGCAAATTAAAAAAAAAGAATAGTGTCTAGTATATAGCAGATAATAAAGACTCAATGAATTAATGAAACATCAAATTGTTTTGGAATGTCTGGAACTTTTTCCAAATCACTTTTCAACTTTTTCATGTTGCATTCTGTGTCCACTTATCCCAAAATGTCACTGGTGTCATGACTCTGTCATGAGTACCTTGCTTTTCTCATTGCATTCTTTAAAAGCCCAGCAAGCTTTTAAAGAGTCATTCTTGTCAAGGAGTCATAAGTCAGTGTGCATAAGGTATCTCTGACAGGCTCTGACATGCTAGACTGTTTTCCTTTAGAAGCATACAAAATGTAGAGAGTTGGTGTCCTTACTTCACAAGCAGAAAATTGATATGCACGTGCCTTAAATAACCAGGAGAAATGACATCAAGATTATGCATTCCAATAAGTGGCTTTTCTAAGTTTCAGGAACCATGCCATCTGTATCTACCATGAGGGCCCCCATTTGTCTAGTGGAAAACATGAGGGAGCAGCTGATGGTGAATTCAGAAGCCTTAAGGATTCTTGAAAAGATATCTCAACCTTTGGTAGTGGTGGCCATTGTTGGGCTGTGTCGTACAGGAAAATCCTACATCATGAATCGTCTTGCTGGACAGAACAGTGGTGAGTATGATCCTGGAACAGGGGCCATTTGCTTGGAAAAATGATAAAACAAGTTGATCACACCTTCTCTAGGGCCATTTTTATGGGAGACTAATCCCTCCCACTGAAGAATATTTCTCATTTATCACCACATTTATAACCTCAAACCTATCCATAGACTCTCCCCCTTTAACCCATTAACAAAGAGCTCTCCAACCCTATCAAAAGATCCAACCCACTGTTCTTCCTGATTCCATCCACCCCTCACCTGTTCAGGAGCTGAGATCCAGCAGGTACTGCCTTCATTTCTCCTGCATCATTCCCCCAAGCTACACACTTATCCCAAGGAACCCACAAATACAGTGCAATGTGTTCTTTGAAAAAGAGGGTGGACAAATAATAAGTAGGATACCTGTATATCTTCTAGTATTCAAATTGGGCTATCTTCTAGGTCTTCTTTCTTTCTTTCTTTCTTTCTTTCTCCCTTTCCTTCTTTCTTTCTTTTTTCACTACTTCATAGAAAATATTTAGTAAATTATCACCACTGGAGCACATAGTGTAGTTATTATATGTATGATGGAGTTCAGAAATATGAAGCAGACACCTGTTTAATCCCTATCTAGGTCAAGAAGTATATCTTAGCAACTCTGCAAAGTCCAGGTCACAGCCTCTCACACTTTCCCTAAAACTCACCAATATTTTGATTTTTCAGGGCACAATTCTTCCACTCTTGCATTAAAAAAATGGTTCTATAGTTCATTATGCATTCTAGAATACAACTTAGCTTGGTAATTAAATTTTATAGAAAGCAAATTATAGTTTATGTGTTATTAGTGCCTTGCTTCTTTTGCTCCAAAAGAAGTTATGTTTCCTCTAGTCGCCACATGTACTATTGTTTATTCATTTTCACTACTTTATACTATGCTGTTGTCTCAGGATACCACAAATTATTTATCCACTTATTGATGATGAATTTTGGTGTTATTTCCATTTTTATCTTTAATTAATAATGTTGCCAAGAGTATTATTTATTCATATGCAAACTTCCCTTGTGCCACATACCCAGAAATGGAATTTCTGGACCATAGGTGTATGACTTTCACCTTTCTAACTAATACTAAAACGATTTAATGTACCATTTGAAATTTTACATACAATTTACATATATGTCATCAGTAATTGATGGTGCTATACATCCTACAAAAATTTAGTAACATAAGAAAAGTGCTTAACTTTCTGATCTGTGGATCTGACTAGTTGCATGATATTATCTCACTATAAATAAACATAAACACCTTTGATATTTGTATTCTCTGGTTTATAAAATTTGTGTTTTTCCCATCAAGTTGTCTCTTTTGCTTGCACTGACTGTTGGGACAATTTTACCGTGATACTATTTGGTGTTTCTCCCTTTAAAGATCCTACAGGTCATTTTCCTCTTCCTCTCCAGCTAACAGGCCCAGTGCCATTATTGACACTCAGTCTACTAAACTCTGAAGAGCCTCCACCCACTGACCTCTCTCTCTCTCCTCCTCCTCATTTGTTCTCTCTGCTCTCCTACCTTCTGTGCCTCCAGTTATCTTTCTACCTCCTTCGCTTTACTTTGATTTCCTCTTGCCTCTTTTAGCTTTCTATTTTCCAGCACCTCAGACACAAGCATTTGCCTTTATCTTTCTTTTTGGGACATTCTTGAACATTACTCAGGGGAAGACCCTTTTCCTTGTCTAGATCAAATAAATTCCTGTCATTTTTAAGGATCTGGGGAGTCCTTAAGAAGCAGATATTAATGGAGGTGTTAATAGTATTGTTTTTACTTTCTGCTCAAGATGATGTCAAATAACAATGATGCAACTTCCCAGTGCTTTCTTAAGAGAGTCTATGGTCTTAAAGTGCTTTAAACATCTGAACTGTGACTCTTGCCCTTCCCATGACATAGGAAGAACAGAAATAAAAGACTTACTTGCAATCAAGCTCCATGAGCAGGACCAGGTCACTGCTTCTCTCTCTTGTGGGTGACTTGCTTTGTTTTGTTGATACTTCACGTAACTAAGTATAATGATCTCTCATCACCCCTCATGGTTTCTACAACTGGCATCACTGGGAATGGGCTGTCCCTATATTAACCAGCAAGCAATGCGATCCTACCACAGTATTGAAAAGTGGAAACTGTATGCCCTCTTTGTGTACCTCACACAGGGAGCCCTAGTTGTGTTGAACCACGATCCTGTAGGAACATTATGACATCTATTTTTACTCCCACTTAAGGAAGGAAGTATTCTTATATGCCACGTGAGAAAAATCTTGAACTATTGGGTAGGATACATCATCTGGTGGTTCCAAGGGTTGGTCCTCAAATCCTCTGTACTATGGGTTTAAGCCTTTGAAAAGAAATGCCAATAGGTGTCTTTCCTGCTTTCCCTTCAGTTATATCCCCAGATGAGGCAATGAAGCTCATTATTTGCTTGAAACTGAGTAAGAAAAGGAATAAAATAAAGGAGGAAAGGGGGGTGAGAAACCAACAAGCCCCAATGTAGCCTTATAGGTCCTGGCAGGATGCCAATGACCTACTATATCAGCTTTCCATCAGTATTACAAATATCTGAGATAAGTCAGGCATAAAGACAAAAGGGTTACTTTGGCTCACAGTTTTGGATGTTTCAACCCATTATCGATTGACCCCAATGCTTTTTGGTCTGTGGTGAGGCAGCATACATAGAACAGAGTACATGAGAGAACCATACTACTCATTGCATGGTGAGCCACTAAGACAAAATAAAAGAGGAAAAGACCCAGATCCTACAATCTCCTTCAAGGGCATGCCCCTAATAACCTGAAGACTTCCCACAGGGCCTACTTTTTAAAGTTTCTATCCCCTCTCAAAAGCACCACACTGTGTACCAAGGCATTGACAGATGGGCCCTTGGGGAATATTCTAGATCCAAACTACGGCATCCACTATCAGGTAATTAAAGAACATTTAATATCCCCTGTACAAAGGCATAAAAATTATGAAGGGATCCAATAAACAGTGAGAAAGTACTTGGTGAGTTGCAAAAGAAGCACACAGTACACATAAGTACCTCCATACCCAGAAGAGACAAGCAAGAGTGGATGCCATGATGTGGCCAAGAGCAGAAATGTTGGATGGAGATACATGAAAAGAACCTGACTTGAGATAGAACAAGGCCCTTGGGATGCTGTGGCAGGCTAGGTTGAAAGATAAGAGACACATGCCTGCTGTGGGGTCAGGTTCTGTTGCTTCCCACTGATTGAATTCTAATAGAAGATACAGGACATGAGAGCTCTTCACAGTCATGTAAAATTACATATGTTAACAAAGTTTACACTAGTTCTGTAACTTAACATACTTTGAGCATTTGGAAGTATGAGTTGAACAGAGGGCATAAAACATTTCTTGAGAAAGTTTTTAATAAACACTAAATTAGTTACCCATGTTAATACATTAGCACACACTTTCCTTGCCAATTGCTAAATACTCCTACCACATTACCCAATGTAACCATGAACGCATGGTCTCTGCTATGACGGTTTGGTGTTTCTCCTCTTCCCTTGCAGGCTTCCCCCTCGGATTCACTGTGAGGTCTCAAACCAAGGGCATCTGGATGTGGTGCCTGCCCCACCGCACCAAGCCAAACCACACACTGGTCCTTCTTGATACTGAGAGCCTGGGTGATGTGGAAAAGGTGAGGCAGAAGATTTTCTCTGCTCTTGATTATACATTTACTGACAAATTTATTCCTCAATTCAATTTCTATGACACATTCCTGTAAAATGAAAATCTAATCATGAATCATGAGGCTAAACTTTGTATCTTCAAACTTCCATCTCCTGATATGTTAGGGTTAGATCTTCTTTATGATGTAATTTCACAAATATGTATTAACAGCTGTGGGCATAACAGTAAACAAGATAAAGACCAGGAGCCTGGCTGTGAAGACAAGATATGTGGGGTGTGATCAGTCCAAGGTAATACAGATGCAGAAAGATGCTGATCCAGTCATTAGATTAGATCCATGGAGAAAGCTGTAATCAATGAGTGTATGGGCCTGATGGGTTGCAGGTAGGAACCATGAAAATGGGGTTTCAATGAAGGACTCTGCTTAAATAAAATTCGGTTTCATCTTTAAGGTTTTGATCTAAGTCTCTGAACTCTGGCAATGAATTCTGTACTGACTAAAAGCATGAATAACACTCACCCCAAATATTGAAAATTGATAATTTATGGTATGTCTTTATAGTATTAGTTGCAATCAATCTTTTCTCCTAATTGTATTGAGTCTACATTGAAAGTAGATTTTTGGCTTCCATTACTGCAAAAGGTAGGGAGGAGAGGAAGGCACAGACTTAGAAATTCTGAGTTTGCAAATGGCCAGAAAACACATGAAAAAATGCTCACCATCTCTAGCAATAAAGGAAATGCAAATTAAAACCACGCTAAGATTCCACCTCACCCCTGTTAGAATAGCCATCATCAGCAACACCACCAACAACAGATGTTGGCGAGGATGCGGGGAAAAAGGAACCCTCTTACACTGTTGGTGGGAATGTAGACTAGTACAACCACTCTGGAAAAAAATTTGGAGGCTACTTAAAAAGCTGGACATCGATCTACCATTTGATCCAGCAATACCACTCTTGGGGATATACCCAAAAGACTGTGACACAGGTTACTCCAGAGGCACCTGTACATCCATGTTTATTGCAGCACTATTCACAATAGCCAAGTTATGGAAACAGCCAAGATGCCCCAGCACTGACGAATGAATTAAGAAAATGTGGTATCTATACACAATGGAATTCTATGCAGCCATGAAGAAGAACGAAATGTTATCATTCGCTGGTAAATGGATGGAATTGGAGAACATCATTCTGAGTGAGGTTAGCCTGGCCCAAAAGACCAAAAATCATATGTTCTCCCTCATATGTGGACATTAGATCAAGGGCAAACACAACAAGGGGATTGGACTATGAGGACATGATAAAAGCGAGAGCACACAAGGAAGGGGTGAGGATAGGTAAGACACCTAAAAAACTAGCTAGCATTTGTTGCCCTTAACACAGAGAAACTAAAGCAGATACCTTAAAGCAACTGAGGCTAATAGGAAAAGGGGAACAGGTACTAGAGAAAAGGTGAGATCAAAAAGAATTAACCTAGAAGGTAACACCCACACACAGGAAATCAATGTGAGTCAATGCCCTGTATAGCTATCCTTATCTCAACCAGCAAAAACCCTTGTTCCTTCCTTTTATTGCTTATACTCTCTCTACAACAAAATTAGAAATAAGGGCAAAATAGTTTCTGCTGGGTATTGAGGGGAGGAGAGGGAGGGGGCTGAGTGGGTGGTAAGGGAGGGGGTGGGGGCAGGGGGAGAAATGAACCAAGCCTTGTATGCACATATGAATAATAAAAAGAAAAAGGAAAAAAAAAGAAATTCTGAATTTGAAAATCAGTGTTAAAATTGTCAATTATCATCTAAATATACACCCAAAACAGACTGCTGATTTATAATAGACTTGTATTGTCAATAGATGAAAACAAAACAAAATATAAACTGATGGTGGCAGAATTCATGGAAGATTTCACAATTTACAAAGCAGTGTGGGGAAATCTGCATCTATTTCAAAGCTGTCCATAAATCTTATTCCCAGACTCCTTTTCCATTCTTACATGCTTTGGTTCAGTCCAGAAAAATAACTCTGCAATACCTGAATATTTTGGGCTGTAACAATTCTTCCTTGGCCTATCCTACATTCAACTCCACAAGTCTGTGTTCTATCAACTCTAAGCTCATCTATTTTCAACTTACTCCTGGAAGAAGTTCTTGTGCTAAATTTCCAGAGTAATTTTTCCTATTTATGAGCCTTACCTCTTTACTTTTTTTTGTTTTACATTCTTACATCCACTCCAGGCAAAAAAAATTTGGTTAAAATTAAAATGTGACATGTTTATTTGCCACTGCCAAAAGTCCCCTTGCTAAGGGACAAGACTGGTACATGGAAATTTATATCCAGAAAACCAAATGTAGGTCTGGATTTTGTCAGAGACCCAATGTGGAGTTGTTGAACTTAATTGAACAGCATTTGTGTCCTTACTACTGCCATGATCAAGATGAAGTTCTTGATAAAATAATTTCCCACTTATTAATGGATACCTACCATGTGGTAGGCAATTAATAAAATATTTTACACACATGGAGAACTTCATTTGTCTCGATAGCTAACTTGCTAATCTCTGATAAAGATTCAATATTAAATCAATAATGAGATTTGCATTTAGCATTATCTTCGAGATACGTTATTTCCCTTGGATTCAGCACTAGAACAGCAGAAAGAATGAATGCACAAGCAAATGAGTGAATGAAGAGGGACCCCTAAGTCCCTCGCTCTCGTGTGCTGTCTAAGGTGACACTAAGAATGACTCGTGGATCTTTGCCCTGGCCGTGCTTCTGAGCAGCACCTTTGTGTACAACAGCATGGGCACCATCAACCACCAGGCCCTGGAGCAGCTGCAGTATCCTTCCAGGAACAGAACCTCCATGATTCATTGAGTTTAGGAGAATGATAACTGAGACTATTTCTTCTTTGCTCTAACTGAATTATCTTGGTTAAGTAAGAGTGGACACAGGAGAAAAAGGAATGTTTACAAAACTTGTTTCTAAGTGAGATCTGGAAGATTTGTTGTCTCAGATTCCTTAGCTGTGATCCCAGTTATGTGACTGAATTAACACAGCTAATAAGGACAAAATGCAGCCCCAAACCAGATGAAGTAGAGGACTCTGCAGAGTTTGTGAGTTTCTTTCCAGACTTTGTCTGGGCTGTTCGGGATTTCACTCTGGAGCTGAAGTTAGATGGGCACGACATCACAGAAGATGAGTACTTGGAGAATGCCTTGAAGTTGATTCCAGGTATCAGAGCCTGCCTGGGTGGGGAAAGGTTCAAACAGGGAACTGTGATCAACTCAACCCTGTTCAGCCTTTGACATACATGTTTATCTGAGATTGGATTAGGCTCTTGCTAATGGTGAATGATGATTGACAGGTGGTCATGATTTCAGTAATTTTTGTTGAAAATCTTTGGAGGTTAAGATTTAACTCCCTGAGTAAATTTAGGAGAAATGTTCTATCAAGTGATTTTAGACCCATTAATATCATGAAAAAATTGTGGATTAGAATCAATGCTACTACTTCTAAAGGTTCAAATATTTGTTACTTAACTGCTCCTCATATTCTATTTTGAGATAAATAGCTCATCAAGTTAGAATTGAATAAATTCCAAATTACAGGAATGTCTGATGAGCTAATTTTTAAAACATATTTCACTGCTTTTATTTTATTAACCTACATAGATAAACCCTTCAGAGAAAGGATATTAGTTAAATTACATTTTTTCCTGGAGAAAAACTGATATATGGTCCCCCAAAATGCTGTTAAATTCTTCCTTTCACCATTTTAATAATATCACAGCCTTATGCAATATGTCATCTCATTAATGTTAAAATTTTACTACATGGATTCTATTTAGTAGAATAGATAAACAGTGGTACCTAGTGTTGATATCCATTGTTATTCATTTATTTATTCATTCATTAAACAAATATTTATTTTTAAAAGCTGATTTATGACACAGAATCTCTGTAAGGCAATGTCCACTTCAATATAATCTAGCCTCAGGAAATCAAGAGGTTTTCAAATCACATGCAGATTAACTTTACTTTGGAGTTTGTGCTAAAGGAATCAGTAACCATATTTGCATTGTGTGTAGTTTTGGCTCTGATTTTGAAACCTTTTTTACTGACTTGAGAATCATCTCCCTTCATGACATTTTCCTCAGCAACATCTTATCCCTACTTTCAACATTATTTTACTTTAGAGCCTATGCCTCATTTCTGACATGGAAGTGCAGTATCAGAAACATCTTTTTGACAGCTTTTTTAAAATTAATCAATTATTCCAAACCTTTAAAGCATAGTTTATCTATATCTACAACATAAGGACTACAGAAGCCAGTCCTAGGTTTCTCCCTTGAGATGACTGACTCCCCTGCTGGGTAGATTACCATGAGCTCTCTGTGTAATTGAATGAAACACAGCATTTATAGTTACACAAAGGTTGTTAGAAAAGTTTTCAATCACATTGTCTGCAGGATGTCTGTTCAGTATGAACTCTTTTTGCAGGAAGGAATCCCCGAATTCAAAATTCCAACAAATCTAGAGAATGTATCAGATATTTCTTTCCAGTCCGGAAATGCTTTGTCTTTGACTGGCCTACAAGTGATAAAAAATTGTTATGCCATATGGAAAATGTTACAGAAAATCAACTGGAATGGAATTTCCAGGTGCAAACAAAAAATTTCTGTACCTATATCTTCACCATGGGAAAGACCAAGACACTGAGAGAGGGGATCATTGTCACTGGAAATTGTGAGTTACTTTTGTCTCAATGCCTGTTCTTGAGGTTTAGCATGTTTGATAAAGCTATTATTCTTTTGAGGGTTTGTCAATATTTTTGTTTGCTTCTGTAAAGGAACGTGGAAAAGCAAGTGATCATGCATGTTTCTTAATTACACATTTATATATGAGAGTTTATTGTGGTCTAAAAAATGCCATAAAACTAATACACTAAGGATACAAGTACAAACTGCCACTAGGGAGAGAATCCTGAAAGATGAAGAGAAATCCCATGGGATAAATGAGAATATATAAGATCTTTTTTGAATTGACACCAGTCAAAAAATAAACAACAGGCCATAAATTCCTTGCAGTTTGTTTCAGAAACAAATTTAAATAGGGCTGACTTCATGATATGTGGCTTGTGCAATCATGAAGTCTCCAACCTGAGATGGACTCATACTTGGTTCAGTACTCTATGTTGCTATCATTGATTTCTGATCATATTTTTCGAAGGAGACTAGCATTTAAATTTGAAATTAAAACTCACAAATTGTGTAATTTACTGTACTTGTATAAGAAATCTTTTTTTGTTAATTTAAATTGGGAAAGTAGTATTTCAAGGAAGGATTAAAACCTCTTGGTTGTAATTTAGTAATGTGCTAAATATGAGAAACACAAAAGAAGGAGCATATATGAAGAACAGTGATGTATTAAGCAGAAATGGATTATAGATCACATGGAAAGAGCAGGAATTAGAAAAAGAGAAGAAAAAGAAAGAAAGGTAGGAGGAGAAGGAAAATTTAAGATAAACAGATTTTTGAGAGTTTTATAGGCCAGCTCTTAAAGTTTGTAAAAAACGTTAATGAGAAGTTTCCATTTATTCCCTTACTATATGTCATCCAGGGCTGGGGACACTGGTGAAGACCTACGTGGATGCCATCAACAGTGGAACAGTGCCTTGCATGGAGAATGCAGTGACCACCCTGGCCCACCAAGAGAACACAGCCGCTGTGCAGAAGGCAGCCGACCACTACGGTGAGCAGATGGCGCAGAGATTGGGGCTTCCCACAGACACTCTCCAGGAGCTGCTGGACGTGCACACAACCTGTGAGAGGGAAGCCATTGCGACCTTCATGGAGCTCTCCTTCAAGGATGAAAATCAGGAGTTCCAGAAGAGACTGGTGGTAATACACCTTAGCATTTACTCCTCCTGAACCCTCCCCTTTTGGAGTAAGGTTTAGCCTCCATCTTTTTTATCCCATGGTTCATGTTCTTCTCATCATAGAAAGAACGTAGATTTTTCTGGGTAACAGAGCTCTTCAGGCTACAGTGCCCTTTCTCTAAAAGGCATTATTTTCCGTTGCACAAAACAAATTATCATGTGGTTAGCAGTTTCAAACAGCATCATTTTATCAGCTCAGAGATCTTTAAGTCAGATGCAAGCACAGCTATCTGGGTGCTCTGCTCAGTGCACCGGATGCTGAAAACATGGAGCCGAATGGGCTTATTTCTCATGCAGTCAATCTGAGGACACGCTCTCCACATTCAAGCAAGCAAGGACACATCAAATCCTTCTCTTGTTTCTAGTCTTTCTGATTTCCTTTCCTGCCACAGCCAGATAAAACTGACATTTTAAAGGGCTCACGTGACTAGGTAATGCCCAATAGGGTACTCTCCATTTCTTAAACTCAACCTGTGCTATTTAACATAATATAATCACAGGATTAACAAGCATCTGATTCACAGGCCCTAAAATGATAAAGGGTGTGGACACCAAGAGAGAGAACTCTCAGGGACATTTTAATTCAACTCTCCAAAGGCACCCTCACTGAAAGCTTGTCTTTCAGTCTGTCTGGGTCTGCCCTAAAAGTAACAAATCTGCTAGTTCATCCTGAGGGAATCCAGATGAATTGTAATTTTTAAGCACAAATAAACAAAAAGTATCTCTTTCAGTATCTTCACACCTTAAACAATCACTGAAAGAATTCTTGAAAGGTTCAAATCTGTTCAGGACGCACTTAAATCATCTCTAGGGGATTGGTTTCCCAAGTGTGTATTTTCAACCATAACAACCCACAATCTCTGAGGAAATTTTGCTTCCAGCCAAAAATTAATGTTTTACTGTTCGTTGTTAGAGTTTGTATATCTGTTAATCATCCTGCATCTAAATAGATCATCTATCTTCTAACTCCATCATTTTACAGGTATTTTACCTGAAACCATGGGAGATAATAGGGTCTCCAGAGGTCACTCAGAATTGAGCAGAATGGGGACTAATCAAGTCCCCTGGCTCCTTCCCTGTCCCAGTTCACTGTGTGGTTGTCACACTGCTTCTTCCAAGAGGATCACAAAAAGGACCTTCCTCTAACAGTTTCTTTGTATTGTCTTTCCCTTACATTAAATTTTCAGGGCACCATAGAGAGAAAGAAGGAAGATTTTGTCCTGAAGAATGAAGAGGCATCCATCAAATACTGCCAGGATGAGCTGAAGAAGCTTTCAGAGCCCTTGATAGAAGGCATTTCCAGAGGAGCATTCTCTGTTCCTGGAGGGCATAGTCTCTACTTAGAAGCCAAGAGGAAGGTGGAGCAGGACTACCAGCTAGTGCCCAGGAAAGGAGTGAAGGTGAGGAATGGGGAAGAAGGAGTACAATTCAAAGAGCATAGTGAGAGAGTCTTTGCTGTTCCTTCTGAAAATTTAAAACCATAGCAGCACTTGTGAAATGAAAGCATAGTATGGAGATACATTGGTATTTTTCATTTTTTTGTCTACTGGTAGTTGGATGCTGTTAAATTAATAAGAAATAATTTTCCCAAGGAGGATTTAGAGCCAAGAATCCAGGTGAAACAAACCATTTTCTTCTTTATCAAAGAAGGGGGAAAATTTAGGGATGGGGTATAGCTCAGTGGCAGAATACTTGTGTGGCATGAGTCCCATCTGCAGGACTGGGTTCTATCTCCAGCACCATGAGAAATTTTCTTTTTAAAAAAAAGAATAGTTTTTCTGCTAAATAAAGTAAATAAATAGAATATGAAGAAAAGATGTTACTTCAGGTGGACAAAACAACAGCTCCTTGACTTTGGTAACGATAGTTATTATAAGACAACTGTAACTGGTATGAAGAAACAATGAGGATGATAAGGACCATAGTGGTTAGCAGACCTTGTGCATTCAATCTCCCGTACTAGGAATAGTTTCAGGTGATTTTGTTAGATTGCCAATTTAATTTTCAGAGTGTATGTTAGCTATTACCCTCTTTTACATTTATGCATTAGAAATATATAATATGTAGATGACTTTTAAGTTGCCTAAGAGACACAGTCAGAAAATGCCAAAGCTAATAGGGCAGTCATTAGAAACTCAGAATTTTTTCTTTTGAGGAATTTTCATGTGTTCTGTAATGGCTGCACAAATTTACATTCCACCCAGAAAGAATAAAGGTTTCCCTTTTTCACATCTCAGCAATATTTATTATATTTTGACTTTTTGATAATAATCATCCTAACAGGGATAAAGTATTATCACATTGTGATTTTAATTCATAGTTCAGAAATGATTAGTGATGTTGAACACTTCTACAGATGCCTGTTGAAAAATGTCTATCCAGGTCTATTTTCCATTTATCAGTCATGTTATTTGGTTTTTCTATTGAGTTGTATGAGTTCCTTATATACTTTGGATAATAACCCCTTAACAGATATATGGTTTGCAAATACTTTCCTCCATTCTATATATTACCTTTTCATTGTGTTGTTTGCTTTGTTATGCAGAAACTTTTTGGTCTGATGTAGTCTCATTATTTCCCTGCTTGTGTTTTTGGTGTTCAATCCAAAAATCATTACAAAGTCCAATTTCAATGGACTTTTCCCCAAAAGTTTTTCTAAGAATTGAAAATTTTCAGGTATTATGCTTAACTCTTTAATCCGTCTTTAGCTGGTTTTAATGTGAGGTGTAATTCAGGGGTCCAATTTCATTCTGACCTGGCTTTCTTTTTTTTTTTTTTCATTTTTCTTTTATTATTCATATGTGCATAAAAGGCTTGGTTCATTTCTCCCCCCTGCCCAACCCCCTCCTTACACCCACTCCGCCCCTCCCTCTCCCCCCTCAATACCCAGCAGAAACTATTTTGCCCTTATTTCTAATTTTGTTGTAGAGAGAATATAAGCAATAATAAGAAGGAACAAGGGTTTTTGCTGGTTGAGATAAGGATAGCTATACAGGGCATTGACTCACATTGATTTCCTGTGCGTGGGTGTTACCTTCTAGGTTAATTCTTTTTTTTTTTTTTTTCATTTTTCTTTTGTTATTCATATGTGCATACAAGGCTTGGTTCATTTCTCCCCCCTGCCCCCACCCCCTCCCTTACCACCCACTCCGCCCCCTCCCTCTCCCCCCCCTCAATACCCAGCAGAAACTATTTTGCCCTTATTTCTAATTTTGTTGTAGAGAGAGTATAAGCAATAATAGGAAGGAACAAGGGTTTTTGCTGGTTGAGATAAGGATAGCTATACAGGGCATTGACTCACACTGATTTCCTGTGTGTGGTGTTACCTTCTAGGTTAATTCTTTTTGATCTAACCTTTTCTCTAGTTCCTGTCCCTTTTCCTATTGGCCTCAGTTGCTTTAAGGTATCTGCTTTAGTTTCTCTGTTTAAGGGCAACAAATGCTAGCTAGTTTTTTAGGTGTCTTACCTAACCTCAGCCCTCCCTTGTGTGCTCTCGCTTTTATCATGTGCTCATAGTCCAATCCCCTTGTTGTGTTTGCCCTTGATCTAATGTCCACATATGAGGGAGAACATACGATTTTTGGTCTTTTGGGCCAGGCTAACCTCACTCAGAATGATGTTCTCCAATTCCATCCATTTACCAGCAATGATAACATTTCGTTCTTCTTCATGGCTGCATAAAATTCCATTGTGTATAGATACCACATTTTCTTAATCCATTCGTCAGTGCTGGGGCATCTTGGCTGTTTCCATAACTTGGCTATTGTGAATAGTGCCGCAATAAACATGGGTGTGCAGGTGCCTCTGGAGTAACCTGTGTCACAGTCTTTTGGGTATATCCCCAAGAGTGGTATTGCTGGACCAAATGGTAGATCGATGTCAGCTTTTTAAGTAGCCTCCAAATTTTTTTCCAGAGTGGTTGTACTAGTCTACATTCCCACCAACAGTGTAAGAGGGTTCCTTTTTCCCGCATCCTCGCCAACACCTGTTGTTGGTGGTGTTGCTGATGATGGCTATTCTAACAGGGGTGAGGTGGAATCTTAGTGTGGTTTTAATTTGCATTTCCTTTATTGCTAGAGATGGTGAGCATTTTTTCATGTGTTTTCTGGCCATTTGAATTTCTTCTTTTGAGAAAGTTCTGTTTAGTTCACTTGCCCATTTCTTTATTGGTTCATTAGTTTTGGGAGAATTTAGTTTTTTAAGTTCCCTATATATTCTGGTTATCAGTCCTTTGTCTGATGTATAGTTGGCAAATATTTTCTCCCACTCTGTGGGTGTTCTCTTCAGTTTAGAGACCATTTCTTTTGATGAACAGAAGCTTTTTAGTTTTATGAGGTCCCATTTATCTATGCTATCTCTTAGTTGCTGTGCTGCTGGGGTTTCATTGAGAAAGTTCTTACCTATACCTACTAACTCCAGAGTATTTCCTACTCTTTCCTGTATCAACTTAAGAGTTTGGGGTCTGATATTAAGATCCTTGATCCATTTTGAGTTAATCTTGGTATAGGGTGATATACATGGATCTAGTTTCAGTTTTTTGCAGACTGCTAACCAGTTTTCCCAGCAGTTTTTGTTGAAGAGGCTGCTATTTCCATGTATATTTTTAGCTCCTTTGTCAAAGACAAGTTGGTTATAGTTGTGTGGCTTCATATCTGGGTCCTCTATTCTGTTCCACTGGTCTTCATGTCTGTTTTTGTGCCAGTACCATGCTGTTTTTATTGTTATTGCTTTGTAATATAGTTTGAAGTCAGGTATTGTGATACCTCCTGCATTGTTCTTTTGACTGAGTATTGCCTTGGCTATTCGTGGCCTCTTGTATTTCCATATAAATTTAACAGTAGATTTTTCAATCTCTTTAATGAATGTCATTGGAATTTTGATGGGAATTGCATTAAACATGTAGATTACTTTGGGGAGTATCGACATTTTTACTATGTTGATTCTACCAATCCATGAGCATGGGAGATCTCTCCACTTTCTATAGTCTTCCTCAATCTCTTTCTTCAGAAGTGTATAGTTTTCCTTGTAGAGGTCTTTCACATCTTTTGTTAGGTTTACACCTAGGTATTTGATTTTGTTTGAGGCTCCTATAAATGGAATTGTTTTCATACATTCTTTTTCAGTTTGCTCATTGTTAGAGTATAGAAATGCTAATGATTTTTCTATGTTGATTTTATATCCTGCTACCTTGCTATAGCTATTGATGATGTCTAGAAGCTTCTGAGTAGAGTTTTTTGGGTCTTTAAGGTATAGGATCATGTCGTCTGCAAATAGGGATATTTTGACAGTTTCTTTACCTATTTGTATTCCTTTTATTCCTTCTTCTTGCCTAATTGCTCTGGCTAGGAATTCCAGTACTATGTTGAATAGGAGTGGAGATAGTGGGCATCCTTGTCTGGTTCCTGATTTTAGAGGGAATGGTTTCAGTTTTTCTCCATTAAGTATAATGCTGGCTGTAGGTTTGTCATATATAGCTTTTATAATGTTGAGGAACTTTCCTTCTATTCCTAGTTTTCTTAGAGCTTTTATCATGAAATGATGTTGGATCTTATCAAAGGCTTTTTCTGCATCTATTGAGATGATCAAGTTGTTTTTGTCTTTGCTTCTGTTAATGTGGTTTATTACGTTTATTGATTTTCGTATGTTGAACCACCCCTGCATCCCTGGGATGAAGCCTACTTCTGACCTGGCTTTCTGTGCCATTCCACTGGTCCATATATCTATTCTTATGTCATTACCATGATGCTTTTGCTACTAAATAATATAATTATATATGCATGTATATCCACATATATGTTATAGTATCCACATATATGGTATGGTATGTATCTATATAGATATATAGAGATATACATACCATACCATATGTACACACATCACATATATATGTATGGATTATTATTCAGCTTCAATAAAGTTCTGCTAATTGTGACAACATGGATGAAATTTGAGGACATTTTGCACATTAAATAAGCCAGCTACAAGAGGACAAACACTGTAAGGTGAAATTATAATGGTGAAAGAGAAGGAGAGAGAGAGAGAAAACAAACAAAAAAATACAAGTCAAATTCATATTGACATAGTTATAATGGTGATTACCAGTGCCTGAGAGCAGAGGGAAAGGGAAGATATTAGTTAAAAGATAGAAATATACAGTTATGAGATGAGCAAGTCCTGAGAACCTATTTATAGTAGGTAACAATAGTTAAAATAATATATTGTATACCTGAAAATTACTAAGAGAGTAAATCTTAACTGTTATCACATCAGCAAAATGTAACTATATGAGGTGCTTGATATACAAATTAAAATTTTTGTAGTACTCATTTTCCAATGTAGACATATATCTAAACATCGTGTTGTATACCTTAAACATATAGAATTCTTATGTCAATCAACCTCAACAAAGATGGAAAAACTAAGAAGATAGCTTAGGAAAGCTTCCTGGTACAGATGGTAAGAGATACACATTGAAGTTTATATAGATATTATCCCATTAAGGAAGGGTAGAAGACACCATATGATCCTGCTATATCAGGATCAAAGAAATATAAGTCAGCATGCAATAGAGACACCTATACCCGCATGTTTACAGCAGCACTCTTCACAAGAGCCAAGTTACAGAATCAGCCTAGGAGTCCATCAACAGATGAATGGATAAAGAAAACATGAAACATGCATACAATGGAATATTATTCAGCCATAAAAAGATGACATATCATTTTCAGACTTTTGGTTGATTGTGGCCATGGAATTCAAGGACCTCTCTGAGATCTGAAGCAGAGTCAGTTTTGAGATTTTATGGAAAACAATTTCTTCATCAGAAGACTAGATCTTCACTGCCTAAATAGTTTTGCTCTTTCTTGATTCCCCAGGCAAATGAGGTTCTCCAGAGCTTCCTGAAGTCCCAGGATACTATACAGAAATCCATCCTGCAGTCAGACAAAGCCCTCACAGAAGGAGAGAAGGCCATCGCAGGTACAGGGGAGGGCACTGCACTCAGAGAGGTAGATGATTCCTGAAAAGCCCTCTGACTAATAGACAGGAAGACTCTCTTGAAAGAAAAATTATTTTTCTCCTATGGAACACAGGTTCTCCTGGATTTGGAAACAATAGGGGAGTTGGGGGTCACACAGCCAGCCAGCCAGTACTGGTCCCGCATGGTGGGAATCATGATCCTGCTTCCATGTCCAATGGGAAAATTAAGAGATTCCCTTCTTGGGAAATCAATTTGGTCTTTTAGTTCAGGAGGGTAGAGATCAGGCCTGACTCTTGTTTTCTTTCCTGTCTAAAAACCATTGTGAAACAGCTGAGAGGACCAGGAAAGAGGCAGCTGAGAAGGAACAAGAGCTATTAAGACAAAAACAGAAGGAGCAAGAAGAAATGATAGAGGCTCAAGAGAGAAGCTTCCGTGAAAACATGGCTCAACTGCAGGAGAAGTGGGAAATGGAAAGGAAGAATATTCTGAGAGAGCAGGAAAGGATGCTGCAGCACAAGCTGAAGGTGAGTCTCAACAGGACCTGGAAGTGCCTGACAAAGAGTGTCCTGGTTCCTTAGGAAGGGGAGATCCAAGGTTTTAGATCAGGAATGATTCCCAGGGAAAATGCAAACCTCAAGTACTCCTGGAGCCTACTGAATCCCTGTTAAGTCTGCAAGATTCCATTACTTGAATAGCATTAGACTTTAGAGGGTTGAACTAATCTCCCCTAAGGTGTTGTGCTGATGTTGGTTGACATTAAAGGATGTTTACTGAGCCTCAATTGAATAGGACCTTAATCTACTAGTCCTTCTGATTCTTGGTGTGACCATCAAAGAGACATGAGGTAGATTCATCTAGTCGAATGTATCATCTTTGACCTGATAGAAAAGGGAGAGTGTTGAAAGCTCAGAAATTGCTCATTTGTTTCCATATCTGCCTGATTTATCCTGTACAGCTGGAGTCCCCATAGAGCTTGATAACCAGTGTTCTACACAAGGTCAACATTTGCCACAGTCTGTTAGATGATTCTGACTGTGCCACCTGTTGGAGTTGAGAATCAGAGTGCAGCCCACATTCTCTCCCAAATGGCATACTTTCTGTTGAAACAAAACTCCTCTCCACCCTGCAGTGAGACAGTGTTGAGGAAATCTCATAGATGTGAAAACCTTGTAGAATACACTCCCACTACTCTAAGGGTCATCCAAGGTGTCTATAATATCAGAGAACCTTCTAAGATGAAGGGAATAGACACATGTGCTTCAGTAGAGGTTGTTAGGTGCAAAACTCTGACTGTTAATGATTGAAGAGTTTCAAAAGTTGACTCTCTTTTATAGGTGCAAGAAGAACTGCTTATTGATGGATTTAAACAGAAATCTGAGGAATTAAATAAAGAGATAAATCAACTACAAGAAGAGATTGAAATAAGTAAAAACAAGAGCCCCTCAATATTTTCACAGTTCCTTGATACACTTGGCACTGTATTTATTGCAGTACTACCTGGGGCTGGTAAATTACTTGGTGCAGGATTGAAAATACTCAGTCCACATATATAATAGTGCAAGAATTCCTAGTAATGAATTTATAAAATGAAGTTTTTTTTACTTTAATAGCAGGATACCATGGCTCATTTTTAATGTTTATGTCTTAGCAGTTTCATTCAGTGAAAAGTTTAAATGTGAAAAAAAACAATTATCAAAGAATATCAGGGCCTGATATCCATAAGGACAAACTTAATTTTGATTGATTTAATTAATTTCAAACATTGGGAGACAAATTAGAAGATATTGAAATTATTTCTAGAAAATGTTTCAGCAAAGCAAAAGGACACATGACAAGATGGAGAAAACATTTGCATTGCATACTTTAGCCATGGAGATAATATATGAGAGCTTGTGAGAAGTGACCAACAAACACATTTTAATATACAGAAATATAAGAATAAGTGTGTGACATTACTTAAATAAAATCTGTGCAAATTAAAATTGTGAAGTTCTTATTTCATCTCTATTATGGGCAAGGAAGAGTGATTTTGACAAGACTTTAGAATGCCAAGAGTTTGATGAAATTCACAGTCTTTCCTCTCTACTAGTGAGAGTGTAAACTGTTGCAACTGTACATCAAAAATTAACATGCATGGTTCTACATGAGCACAAATTCATCCTGACCTTCATCCCACAAAGAGATAAAGAAAAAGAGTCATGGATAACAGCATACCAGTCTCCTGTGTTGCCCCAGTGTGGACAGTGTTCTTGGGTTACACAGGAGCCAAAGGTGGCTGTGATAGCCCACTGTCAGTTGCAATGCCTCTTGGGCCATTCTTACAGAACACACAGACTATTAAATTGCAACTGAGTGGTACATGATACTCCATGTCTGTCCATGTACCCTGTCTGTGTCAACAGGGTGCCGACCTTTTCTATGCATTGTATAATGTACTGCTTTTGTTGAATAACCTCTTGGACCTTGAGTAACTTTAGTGGTGGGCAGGAGTAGACACACTACCCTTCAGTCCTCTGTGGGAGGCAGCATGTCCTGTGGGCCAGTAGGTCTGACCTATGTAAACAGAGATGAGACATAGATATCAGGGTGAACTCAGTAGTGAGAAACATCATCATTGCTCACTGAAAAAGCCTAAGACCACATTCATATACACATGTGAATCAATCTGACGTGGGTTGCTGCATTCCCTCTACAAAGTCCCAATGCCATCACCTTGCCCCTTCCCTGTAGGTCTTAGAATTATTATTACTTGAGAAACAGTATCCAAAAGCTCCACAAACATCTGGATTTCCACTCTCCTCTTTTCCCCTTTTAACCTAACAGGAGAATAGGGCCACCATTTTAGATGAAGATGAAGACCTTGACTCCATCTCTAATGGTTATATTTGAAGGAAATCATGACACATGTGAGAGGATTTTTTCATCCTGTTTGGCTCATTGTAGTCACAATTGTCTTCTGCATCACCCTGGCAAGCCAAAGGAAGCCTGGGAGACTCCTGTATACCTTTCTCCATACTGTGCTCAGTACTGCTGGCATTCAGGATTCCAGATCTTCCCAGTCCTGAAAACACTTCTGCTCTTGAGTTTTTATGACGCTAATCAGAGATTTGACTTCTAGTATATAAGAGCCCCTTCTGCCTTATACCAGAAATCTGTGGGAATCCCATGGTTTTTGTTTGTTTGCTTGCTTATTTTTTTTGTCTATCACTTGTTTCAACAACCAAGGCCACAGAGTTCTGCAGATCTACCCTGATCTTCCTCTGGTCCTCCCTTTGCTCACTCCTTTTGTTTACTTCTCTACTTCACTTTCTGGTCCTTTAGGTACAATTTCTCATTATGGAGTCAGTCTAGGAAAACTCTCAGAAGAGACCATAGATAAAACTTTTCCATTTCCATTGCACAAGAGATTTTTTTCTTTTTATAAAATTTTTATTAGGATACACCCATTATACAGGGGGGATTCATAGTGACAATTCCAGTTAGGCTTGTATTGTACATTGCTTAGATCACTCCCATCCTCTCTCCCTTCAATGCTCTCCCTGCCCCACTTAAAGCAATTGCAAGAGGGTTCTTTAATCTATTTCATAATAAGTATATGAAGTCCAACAATCATATACCCTCATCTTGATCTCCTTCATTCACCCTCCCCTCCCACTAGTACCCCACACACACACACACTGTACCTATTTCGCAGTTTTGTCTTTCATTATTAATATTTAATTTGGTGTCCAAGGGTTTTCTCTATGTTTCCACACTGTTCAACCCTTTCCATTGCTCTTGCTTACCTCTTTACTTCCCACCCCCATTTTTCAACAGCTTTCAATACACATCCTTATATCCTCTACTTTTACAGATGTTATGTTTTATAATATTACCAGTACTCTTTCATTCTCTTTTCCTTTCCCTCTGTCCCCGAGTTCCATAGAGTAGTTCCACTATTACTAATATGTTCTACATATGAGCTTATATACAGTTGTCTTGTGTATATGTTTATCATTTTGATCTATCTTCCACAAATGAGAGAAAATGTCATTTATCTTTCTGAGCCTGGCTTACTTCACTTAACATAATGTCTTCCAGTTCATCCATTCACCTTCAAGTCACATGTCATTATAATTTTGGCTGAGTAAAACCCTATTGTGTATATATACCATAATTTCTTGATCCATTCATCAGTTGTAGGGCACCTGGGTTTTTTCCAAAGCTTGGCTATTCTGAATAGTGCTGCAATGAGTACTGATGTACAGGTGTCTCTATTGTATCCTGACTTATATTCCTTCACATGGAAGTTCCATCTGTAGCTTTTTGAGGAATCTCATACTGCTTTCCATAGTGGTTGTACTAACTTGCATTCCCACCAGTAGTGTATAAATGTTCCTGTTTCGTCAAATCCTCGCCAGCACTTGTTGTTGCTATTGTCCTTGAATATGGCCATTCTAACTGGGAAGAGATGAAATCTGAGTGTAGTTTTCATTTGCATCTCTTTTGTAACCAGGGAAGTTGAAAACTGCTTCATGTATTTACTGGTCATTTTTACCTCTTCCTTTGAAAATTCAGTTTAATTCATGTGCCCATTTCTTCATTGGGAGCTGATTCTTTGGGGTTTGAGTATTTTGAGTTCCCTATGGATTCTGGACATTAGTCCCTTAGCAGATGAATAACTGGCAAATATTTTCTCCCATTCTGTGGGTTGTCTCGAGTCCAGTGACTGTTTCTTTTGCTGTGCAGAAACTCTTTAGTTTAATGCAGTCTCATTTGTTCATTCCTTCTCTTAGATGCTGACCCAGTTAGCGATATTTCATCAAATGTAGGTCCTTCATATTCTTGGGAAACCATAACATCAGTGACAAGGCTTCAGAAAAATTATAAATCCTATGACATGACATAAGCACACACATTTCTATATGGTGAATAAATATTTACAAATATACACTTCTCTATATAAAGAAATAAAGTACTTAAAAAGAAATAACCTACTAAAGAGCATGTTCTATAATTAAATATTCAACTAATATTAGGACACAGAACTGTGATTTCAAAAAGAAGACTCATGATTCCCAGTAACCTTGACACTGTTCCTAGGGTCTTAGTCATTGCAGGTGAAGATGTATGAACAGAAAATTTTTCAATTATTTCTAGAATTTCAGATCTAGGATGTTTTTCAGAACACCCTCAAGAGGAACCAAGAGCTCCATTTCATATTTTGGGCAAAGACAAAACACTGCTGTTCAGGAAAGAGATGACTAAGACAATCTGAATATGTTGAAATTTTTAACTCTGGTATTGTCACCTGAGGAAGAAGGAAACAACATGATAGTGAGGACAGTCCTAAGACATGGCAGTTCAAGAATGTTATGACTGGGATTTTTGTTCCTTGTAGTCTCTGTTTTTATAGATCTCCTTTTATACTACCATTCAATGGCTCACTGAAATCAAATTCAAACCAATGATGTATCTCTGGAGACAAATTTTGGGAAACATTCACCCATGCAGACGGTATGGCTGACATTCACAAAACCATTTCATGTTCATTGAGGTGCAATGCCAACATCCTGAAGCTATTCCCACAACACCAAGGACAAGGATTAACTTGGACAAACATATTTCTTTCCAACAAGAAACATAAGTGATTTTTTGGCATTTTTTGTTTGCTTGGTTTTTTTTGTTTGTCAGTTTTCATTGATTTTTGTTTTACTTTGTTTTTTCATTGTCGGTTTCCAATCATCCAATTTGTTCTTGCTTTACTGTTTCTCTCATTTGTCTTTATTTCTCTTTTTTTCTTTTCTTTCTTTTTTTAACTTGGTTTCTAACTGTTCAATTTTTTTCCTTTTTTTCTCTTTTCTCCCTCCCTATCCTACAAATCCCTCTCTATTTCCTTGTTATTAATAGAGAGAACTTTCTTATACTATTATCTTCTACATCTACCACCCATTCTTTCTACCACCCTTTCTTTCTACCATCCTATTTCTCTCTTTCTCATGCCAATGCCCATAATACTCAATTTTCCATCCATATACCTTTCAACCAGTGTTGAGTTCTCAGAGTTTTGCTCCTGTACAACCTACTGCGGAGACAGATAAAGGTTCCAATCATTCCTTACTCATTCAAATTCTTGATTAATTGCCAAACTGTTTGACTTGTTACTGCAGTAGGTTCTCCACTCACCTGAGGAAGTACAAGGAAACAGACCAACAGATGTACAAATCATAGCACAGAAATTTAATTATGAGAAACCAAGGAGATATCTCACCTCCAAAGTCCCATCACAACTAAAAATGTGAATACAAAGATACTATATTGGCTGAAATGTCTGAAAAAGAGAATTGAGAAGCCTACTGTTAAAAACGATCAGTGAACTCAAAGAGGATTCAAATAAACAGATAAATTGAGGCTAACAATTTGTTGCTAGAAAGTCAGCAACATGGAAGAGAAATTCAGCAAGGAGATGGAAATTATGAAAAATAATCAAGTAGAAATGAAAACCTCAATAAATCATATAGAAACCACAACAGACAATAAGATCAAACAGAAGAAAGAATATCAGAGATGGAAACAAGATTGAGGAATTATTGCACTCTCAAACAGTCACAAGGAAAAAATGAATGCACATGAATACAAGAACTCTGGGACACAATCAAAAGACCAAACCTGAGAATTCATGGGGTAGACAAAGGAGCTGAAATATGAACTAAAGGTATAAGAAGTCTATTCGATGAAATTATAATAGGAAATTTCCCAAATCTATGCAAAGTATAGACACCCATTACAGGAGGCATTTTGACCTTCAAATATACATGACTAGTTATGAACAAACCTACATCACATCATAATTGAAATATAAAAACTAGAGAACAAAAAAGGATACTCAAACCTGCATGAGAAAAACACCAGCTTCCATACAAAGGGAAATACATAAAGATCACCTCAAATCTCTGTCCAAACCAGTCCAGGAAAGCATGGAGCAATTAAAGCTTTGAGAGAATAATTGCCAACTATTTCCAGGAAATTGTGCTTCATCTTAATGGAGAAATAAGGACCTCATTTCCACAAAGGACTCAAGGGAATAATTCACAGAACAACAACAACAAAAAACCATTCACAAATGCTGTCCAGTTATCTTAGTCAATTTATTGAGTTCATTATAAGCACTGTGTGAAATAGGTCCTCAAGATAAAAAGTTCCTGAAATTATTTGTTTTAGCCTCTATCCTGTGAAGACTGTCCTGTAACTTTGTCCTGCACTGTTATGACCAGTACTGACTAGTCTAATTTCTGTAGCTTCAATAAAGCTTTCCACAAGGGGTAGAGAGAGCTCCTCTTCTTACTTTTTTGTGGTAGTGTGGCAATTTTTTTAAAGCCCTTCCATTTAAACTTTGTCAACCAAGAATAAAATCATCCTGGTCAAAAGGAAAACTTACTTATTTCAACCTAATTAGAATCATGATCAGAAGACACAAATTCAAGAAGCATTAAAATGGTGGGTGTGCTTAAAACCTGAAATCACAAGGGACTCCAAAGTGACTGGTTCTGGAAGAAGTTAACTTGTATTAGAAGAGAGGGATTGATGCAGTCACAGTCTATGGGTAGTTTGGGGCAGAGATTTACTGCACAAAAGGTCAGCAGAGGTTAGCAAATGTTGGGAAACTACTGTTTGGCCAAGTCCACAGGTCAGCTCACGTGAGGGTGGAGTAGGCATGTCTGCAGCCTATTCAAAGGTCAGTTTGCATGTGATCCGTCTCAAATCTAATCCAACAATGACCCTCCAGCTCCTTTCTAAGTGCCCCCAACCACTGCTAAGTCTTTTTATTTTCTTCCTTGATAACTTGTATGAAGGAATTCTTCCTGTTCTCATAAAATATTTGTTAACTCAGGACACAACAAATTTATAAATGCATTAGGGGACAAATGACCTGAGTCTATGTAGATTTATAATTTGTCTTTTGTAACTTTTGGTGATGTTCTTTGTAATTTTTCCCAGATAACTTTTAGCACTATTGCAAAACTGGTCTCTTTCTTTATTCTATCTCTTAAACCACCTGTTCATAAACTTTTTCTATAAATAGCTTAAAATGAAAACAGTGTTTGTTGCAAACTTCAAATCTGTTTTTGTGGCCTGAAAGCAGCCATGGACAATATGTACATTAATGAGTGTGGCTCTGTTCTAATAAACCTTCAATTACAAATATAGACAACAGGAAGCTTTGGCCTGCAGGCCAGAGTCTACCAATTCCTGTTGTAATAGTTACTCATTTTCTGTTTATTCTAATTAATCAAAACTAATATGTATGAAGTGCTAATGTGTGAGGTGCTAATATTCTCTAGTAGGCACTTTTTTTGCTGAGTGAAAGGAAAAAATTTGCACATCAATATTAGGTCACAACATAGTTCCAGTATCTGTAATTTTTTAATAGAAATGCTAGTCCTGTTTAAATAGCGAGTTTAGGCCCTTTAGTTCACCTGGAGCAAACAGGACTACAAATACTTCATTGGCAAATCTGTCCAGAATCCCTGCAATCAAGGGAGTTTTATCATTCAATCACACTCTTCCTGGGGTCCAATCAGTAGTGTGCCACAAGGCTAGTCTTACCTCATTTAAAGGTGGCCAAGTGGATAGGGAAACTGTTGGCTCACTCTCTGAGAAGTGACAAAGGAATTTCAGAAAGGGCTGTAAAGCCCAGGACTTTCCTCTGCTCACAATTCACCTCACACACTCCCTTTTCCTGCCCACTAGAAAATATTGCAGAAACCTCAACTGTCTATTCAGTAGGGAAGGAGTGCAGTTTCATCTTCAGTTCTCTTCCTCTCAACTCCTAATTGGATGGCTGTAATATCCTGTTTGATTTTCAGCTTCTAAGAAGTACAGTGGATTTTCCAAGGAACCAGCAGCAGGAGGAAGCTCGAGTAAGTGAAGACACCTGAGAATTTTCCCCCACCTGCAGAGCCAGTGCCAAGTGAGTCAGCTCCTAAACTTGGTCATCTAGGACCTTTTCCCTCAGCTGCCAACATTAGCAAGTTGCTCAGTCTCACTCTACTCTAGTGTAGGCTCACACTAACCAGTGGACAAAAGCCTTACACTTCACTGTTAGTCACAGGATAGCATCTGGTCCTTCCATAACTTTTCTGTGGATAGAGTTGGTGTCTACATTGCAGAGGTGGTTACAAGGCAGAAGCACTTGTCACATGTCCCCATGAAGTGCTGCTATTCTTTGGACACTGACCAGGGTCTATAGAAGAGTCCTGTGGGAAGGCTAATGAATTGATTCCATCCTTGTCCATGTGATCATGGGGAGGAAGTCCTTTCTGGACTGAGGAGCCAAACCCCAGCACCCTTGCAAGGCTGTCCTGTGGGGTAATATATTTGAGCCTCCTCCTCTCTCCTGAGCTCTTTCCTGACTGAATGCAGACATCTATCCTCATCAAAACAAATGACTCTTGGATCCTTTCTCAGACTACTTAAATGTAATTCAAATGCCAACACCCTACTCCATTCCCTGCTTTTTTCTTCTAAGAATTACCATTACAACACACAGACACATGCATACACACGCAATATATATACTTTGCATATTTGCTTTATTATCTGTTTCTCCCACTTCAATTTGTATCCATTTTGTTTGCTCCTTGATAATAGAAACCTAGAATAATATCCTCCACGTGCCAGATAATGAATTAATGAGACACCAAATTCCTTTGGAATGCCGCACCTTTTCTAACCACTTTTCAACTTTATCATGTTGCATTCTGCCTCCACTTACTCAAAAATGTCACTGTTCTCATGGCTCTGAAAATAATGCCTTGCTTTCCTCATTCCATTACTTAGAAGCTCAGTAATGCTTTTGGAGTCATAAGTCAGTGTCCATAAGGCATCTGTGCCAGGTTCTGACATGCTACAATATTTTTTCCCCTTAGAAGCATACAAAATGTAGAAAGTTGGTATCCATGTTTCACAAGAGAAACCTGATAAGCACATGCCTTGAATAACCAGGAGAGATGACTTAGAGATCATGGATTCCAGTGAGTAGCTTTTCTGAGTTTCAGGAGCCTAACCATCTGTATCTACTATGAGAGGCCCCATTCATCTAATGGAAAACAAGGAGCAACTGGTAGTTGAATTCAGAAGTCTTAAGGATTCTTGAAAAGATATCTCAACCTTTGGTGGTGGTGGCCATTGTTGGGCTATGTTGTACAGGGAAATCCTACCTCATAAATTGCCTTGCTGGACAGAACAGTGGTGAGTATGACCTTGGGACAGGGGTATTTGACTGAAACAATGGATAGTATGAACTGATCACACCTTCTCTTGGAGCATTTTAGCAAGAACCTAACCCTCCCACTGAAGAATATTTCTCTTTTATCGTCACTTGTATAACTTCAAAGCGATTCACAAAATCTCCCTCTTTTGCCAATTAACAAAGAGCTCCCCAAAAGATCTACCACACCATTCTTCCTAATCTTATCCACTCTCACCTGCTCAGGAACTGAGCTCCAGCATGTGCTCCCTTCCTTTCTCCTTCATTCTTCACCCAAGCTGCACACTCATCCCAAGGAGCACTAAATACGGTTCAGTGTGTCCTTTTAAAAGGTGGGTGGGAGGAGTGATGCATAGTATCTAGTATCATAGTGTCTGTATATCTAGTATTCAAACTAAGCTATCTTCAAGGTTTTTGTTATTTATTTATTTGCTCCTGCACAGAAAATCCTTAATAAATTATCACCATGCAGCACATAGTGTAGTTAAATATATATATATATATATATATATGTGATAAAGTTCAGAAATATGAAGCAGACCTCTATATAATCACTATTCCAGATCAAGAAGTAGACCACTAATACCGCAAAGCCCAGGTCACACCCTCTCACACCTTCCCTAAAATTCACCAATATTTTGGTTTTCAGGGCATACTCCTTCCACTCTTGCTTTAAAAAAAAAAGTGGTTATATACCCTTTTATGCACTGTAGAAAAAAAGTTAGTTTGGCCTTCTTCTGAATTATATAGAAAGGGAATTCTAGCGTATGTATTGTTTGTGTCTTGCTCCTTTTGCTCTAATTGTCACATGTATCTATTTGGTTGTTTATTTTCACTACTTTACGGTATGCTGTTTCCTCAGGATACCACAAATTATTTATCCATTTTGTGATCGATGAATATTGGTGTTGTTTCCTGTATTGATCTTTAATAATAATATTGCCAAGAATATAATTTTTCATATCCTGGTGCACATGTGCACAAACTTCCCTTATGCCACATACCCAGAAATTGAATTTTGGGCCAGACAATATGTGTTCAGTCTTTTTAGCTAATATTAAACAGAACTTCAAAACTTTATTTGCAATTTACATACTCTTCATCAGTATCTGAGTGTTCCACACATCAACAAAAATTTGGTAACATAACACAAATATGTAAACTTACTGATCTATGGACTATATAGTTGTCCATATTTATCTCATTACAATAAGTTAGAGCACCTTGATGTTTGTATTCCCTGTTTTTGTAAAGTATGCATTTTTTCCTACCAAGTTGTCTCATTTTTTGTTCAATTGACACTTAAGACAATCTTATTATGATATTATTTGGTGCTCTATCTTTAAAGTCCTATAGAGTGGTTTTCCCCTAACACACAGATTTCTCCTTCCTCTCTGGCTCATTGACCCAGTACCATTATCGAATGAAATTTAAATTTAATCTACTAAACTCTCTCTCTTCTCTCTCTCCTCTCTCTTCCTCTCTCTCTTCTCTCTTCTCTCCTCTCTCTTCTCCTCTTTTAACCTAACAAGGGAATATGGGTGCCATCAGTTTTAGGTGATAGATGAAGTTCCTTGGCACATCTCTAATGGTTACTTTTAAAGGATCATGACACATACAA